CATTTTTCAGATAAAGAAGTAAAAGCAGCAAATAAACATATGAAAAAATGTTCAACATCACTGGTCATTTGAGAGATGCAGATGAAAACAATACTGAGATTCCACCTCACTCCAGAAAGAATGATTCATTTCTTTTAGTACTCAATGTATTACTGTTAAGATAATCCTGAGCTTCCTTTTAAAGTAACTTGTCATTTATCTGATGTAATGTGTTCTGTATTACTTTTATGGTTAATAAGAATTTCAGATAAATAAGAACCACAGTATGCAAGCTTGAATTTTAATCATTATACTACTTTAGGCTTAACTCTCTTACTTTAGATTTCCTTATCTTTAAAATGTTAATATTGTAGTATTTAAAAGACATAATATATGAAAACAACTTCACCAAGTCCTAGGCCAGAATGAGTAATCAATACATTAACTTCACTCTCCAAATTCTTTCTACATTTTTCATTTCTTTCCCTTTTTGCTCTTCCTCCCCTTCCTTATTTCACTTCTTCCATCCTCTTATTGGGTTAATTGCAAATTTTTGTATGTATGGATTGTCATATACAGATTTGCTATTGCAAAGAAATCATTATTAATTTTTTTTTGAATTCTTACAGGTAGAAGAGAAACAGTAAAATGGAATGGAAAAACCAAACTATTCCGGTGGAATTTATTCTGAAGGGGCTTTCTGGTTACCCAAGGCTTGAGCTTCTCTTTTTTGGCTCATTTTAATAATGTATGTGGTCATCCTTCTGGGCAATGGCACCCTTATTATAATCAGCATTTTGGATGCTCACCTGCACACCCCTATGTACTTCTTCCTGGGAAACCTGTCCTTCTTGGACATCTGCTACACTACTGCCTCCATTCCTTCCACACTGGTGAGCTTCCTCTCCCAGAAAAAGACCATTTCCTTCTCTGGTTGTGCAGTGCAGATGCTCCTTGGTTTGGCCATGGGAACAACAGAGTGTGTGCTCTTGGGAATGATGGCTTTTGACTGCTATGTGGCTATCTGCAACCCTCTGAGATACCCCATCATCATGAGCAAATTTTCCTATGTCCCCATGGCAGCTGCATCCTGGTTTGCAGGGTTTGTCAACTCTGCAGTACAAACTGCATTGGTGGTACAACTACCTTTCTGCAGAAATAATGTCATCGATCATTTCCTCTGTGAAATTCTGGCTGTCATGAAGATAGCTTGTGTTAACATATCAGACAATGAGTTTATCATGCTCATGGCTACGACGTTGTTCACTTTGGTGCCACTGCTCTTGATTTTCCTTTCTTACTCATTAATTGTTTCCAGCATCCTCAAGATAAGCTCTTCTGAGGGTAGAAGCAAAGCCTTCTCTACATGCTCAGCCCACCTGACTGTGGTGATAATATTCTGTGGGACTATCCCTTCATGTACATGAAACCCAAGTCTAAAGACACACTTGATTCAGATAACTTAAATGCTACCAACAAACTTATATCCATGGTCTATGGGGTGATGACTCCCATGATGAATCCTTTAATCTACAGTCTCAGAAACAAAGACATGAAGGAAGCAATTAAAAATCTAGTGAACAAAGGTTCTTTTGCTAGTGTTTAGGAAAGATTTTGGATTGTGAACAAATTGGATATTGTTGAAATGTGAGAATTGTGTTGGAATTTTCATTAGTTTTATTCTTTCTTTGCCTTTTCATGTATTTTGTTAAAATTTTTGTAATGAGATGTAGCATTTAAGAATTGTTACATGTTCATAAAGAATTTTTGAGATACAAGAGAGTGGGATAAGAAAAAATGAGGCAACATAACAGGGAGAGATAGTCATTTTCTAACATTTTGAACAGAATGTTTGCATTCTGTATTTTTTGCAGTATTGGCATTATGTGTCTTTTTATGTTGATTTTTTTGCATACATAACATTATTTCTTAGGCCACAGCTCATAATATCCTTCATAATACAGAAAGCTTTCTGTTATAGAAATAAAGCAAAACAGAAAAAAATCCTAAAATACTTCATTCACTCTCCACTGGAGAGTTTTTTGATTCAATTTTACATTAATCTCTAAATCATATAAAGCCATTAAATGCCATGTGCTTTTCAACATTTACAATTTTTTTCTGTGGCACTCTAAGGATGCTGAGTATTGGAACTACAGAGGAAGTAGATAAATAGTGTTTAAAGAGGAGGGGTTTTACAATCAATGAAGATGTTCTTGTTTTATGTCCTTTACTTCTTTCAACTCACATGTTAGTATTAGCATAAAAAATGCAAAATTAAAATGGGTATGAAAATTAGCCTACTGCCTCAGGTATAACACGGATCAATATTATGTTGGATGGAGAGTAGTATCAGTTCCTATTTAGAAGACACCAGATTTCTTTGATATCCCAAGAAAAGGCCAATACTTTTCCAAATCTTAAGAGAATATCCAAGCTCTTGATTTTTAGTGAGAATATCTGTGTTCATGTCTTCTCTCTTTTACTAACTAGCTTTGAGATCTTCGTGATCTGAAGGCGTACAAAGTTGAGGGATGTCAGAGAAGAGATGGCATTATTTTGCAATGGTTTCCTTGGATTTCTCCTCAACATTTTTTAATTTATCTGAAGAATACTTCTAATTTCCTGCCTAAGATGAGTGAGAGGAGTATGTTCATAGTGTTAAGAATTCAATTTAGCTGAATAAATTGTATATCGATGGATCAGTAAGTTCAGTGTATGTTGAGCACAAGCATTTTATACAAAGATTAAAAGTTTGTGGATTATTTGGGCATATTCATTTATTTCATCTTTTTGAGCTTACTTTCTAATTTTAGTGAAAAAATATGAAAAAGTTGTGAATTATATTTAATTACAAAGGCTTCTATTATAGTTATTTACAGATTAAATCTGATGTTAAAGTGTGAGACTATCAATATATCAGATTCACACTCTAACAAAGCAGGTGTAAGAACCTATCAATTCCCATACGAATCAGGTATTTTATTTTTTGATCCATGGGCCATCTTGGATATTCAGACACTAATATTATTTTCTTTTCTTTTTTTTTTTTTTGCTAATATTATTTTTCTGACAGTTTAAATCCAACTATTTCCACAAACTGGCCGGCATGACTGATCTAGCTAGATTTTGATAGAAAATTAAAGCAAGAAAAAATTTAAAGCACATATTTCTTCTCATCTTCATGTGTTTGAATTTTCTGGGCAGATACACTGTCATTATAATACTGATTGATATTTTCTTATTATAATACTGATTGATATGTATTGCTTTAACACTTTACTCACCAGAAGTTTTTCCATTCAGAGTATTTACTTTGAAAGCTCATGGGGGATGATTTGGTGGTTACTAGCAACATTTCTTTCTTGCTTGGGAGCATAATCAGATGTACTTTCTTTTTTTTTTCTTGCAAAACACCTCAAATTTTACTCATGGTACAAAAGTAAGCAACACATTAGCACAGAAAAACACATAGCTTGTAGCTTATCCTTTAAAACCAGAATGGCCAAGTGAAGTAAAAAGAAGTACAGGTTCTTATTTTCACTATAAAAAATGAAATCAAAAGTACACATTAGGAATTGATCTGTTTTTCTTCTTTGTAGAGACATGACTTATTTTTAGGTTGACAATGGTCTACCAAACACTGTGCTAAGTCAGATCTGGCAGGTGACCAGCAGAGGGTCCACTGCCCCAACTCATGCTGAGCCGGACAGAGATCACCATGTTGGCAGGAGAGGTTTGGACAGGAAGAAGAAATTGCAGTCTGTACCTATTCCAACAGAAACCCAACAGAGTGGCTTGTACAGAAAAGATTTAAGCAAGCACACAGAAACACTCTTAACATACTTTGACAGCAGGATAGCATTAGTTTACTACCATAGAAAGATAGCTTTAGTCTATCTGCAGCACATGCATCCACAGCAATGTAGAAAGCACTTTTGCCTCCACAGCACTGACAACTACAGAGCACACAGCATATAATACTTTGATCTTTAAGTGGGTAATCATGGAAGTTCCATATCCACTAGGTTAGCCTGAGTATTCATCTATAAAAATATTTTTTTGAAAATAATATTTAAAAAGGGACTTTCAGAAACAGGGAGACTACATCAGGACCAGCAGAACTCAGTGTTACAAGGACAGCAGATGAGACAGGAGTAGATTTTTAATGGAGCTTTCAGGTAAAGGGAATCTCTCTTGGTCACTTCCTCCAGCCAGGACAGTGGTCATAGGAGATTCTGAGATCTCAGGCTGGGTGGGTGGCTCAGGCGAGTGACTCCCTGGATTAATATTCCCTAACAAAAACTCCACTGAGGGTTAAGGTCTGAAACCCTGTCCTATGTAAAAAAGAGCTATGAATACACAAAAGGACTCATGCAAAGCCTGCAGGGACAGAGGGTTGGCTAGAGTTGGCTCCTGTACACTGCAGACAGCCACACTGGCACGCACGCTGGGGGTGACTGGCATGGGGTTGCTCTAGAGCCTGACTCAGAAGCGCCTGAGTGAGGTGTCCACAGGAGAGAAGCACTAGGGTTACTAAATATAGGAAGGTGATTCAGAGAAATGGGGTTCGGAGGACCAGATCATGTTTTTGACCCACCCACCAATACTTAAGATGAATGAAGGGCTGCAGTACAGTCAGTCTTTCCAAGATGCACTCTTCGGTTGTCTTTAGCTGAAGTCTCTGAGCTGTTTAGCTGGTGACATCCAGAATGATCCCATTCATTACCTAGTGCTGCAGATTGTTCTGGGAAGCTCGCATTGTAGATGATTTGCACAACGATGTCACTACCAAGCCACTGCTTAAATCCAGCCCCTGGCCTCCCTTTTCTGCTCTGTAGTCTAGAAACATTTCTTTAAAAGCCAGAAAATCTGTAAATGTGAGCAGCATGTCAAAGATGTCACCAGCCACTTCATCTTTATGGTGCTGTAACGTTGTCGTGAAGGCTGCCATGCTGAACCCTGGGATCTGCTCCAGCAGCTGCTCCTCAATGTACTTCTCCACTAGAGAAATATATTCATTAGAAATGCGTGTGTAGGTGAGTTTATTCTCCTCTGTGTCTTCAAACTCCCGGTAGTACTTGTCCATGAAATTTCTCTGTAGTAATTGGGACTCAGCATCCATGATAATGTCCTCTAAATATCCGACCACAGCATCAAATTCTGCGTCCGAGGCAGAGGAGATGGACAGCACCAAGTTCGCCTCCTCCAGGACGTCCATCGTAGGGGAGCCGCATCTACCTGCGTGGGCACGCGGGCTCCTTGGCCTCTTACCACGCCCGCGGCCCGGGCTCAGCTTCGGCTCTATTTTGCGGAGCTGGCACCTGCATCAAGGGCACGGCGGCCAGCTGGCAAGGGGAGGCCTCGCCGCCCAGCCAGCTCAGGACCTCTGTGTGAGGCCAGGCTCTGGTGCCCTTGCGGGGCCAGGCCGCTCCGTGAGAGCTGCCTCTGCCACGGGTCCTGAAGTCAGTTACATACCGCCGCAGTCAGATGTACTTTCATGGTATACCAAGTGTTTATCATTGTATGTATCTGTTCCTGAGTGACCTACCATGTTGCAAAATCTGTAAAGGTCAATTTCTCTATATTCCTTGTTTTCTCTATTCCCACTGCACTTAACTTAGAACATAACATATAATATCATTTAGTATACATTTTAAACCCACAAAGGGGGAAACTATATGAAAAGAGGGGCAACGGGAGAGAAACATTCATTTATATTTCCTTTTAGTCCTCAAAGAAGTTTATGGTTAGGAATTAAGAGCAGAGATGTAGCAGATAATCCAAAATTAATTTTTTTCTTCAACATTATTGTGGTTTTATGCTTGATACATTTTCAACTACTCTAAGTCTAAGAGCATGTTAACTTTTCATGGTGCTGGGGTTTCTGGAATGGACACTTAAGATAAAAGTGTAAAAATGCATTGGCAATCAGTAATTCACATACATTATTGTGCTAAAATCTTATGACATGGGCAATAGTGGTTTTATAGTACTTTATAGATGAGACTGCAAAAGTCAGGGCTACAAAACCTCATAACATGCAAGTTATAGGGAAGCATACACATCCTGCTATTCTTTCTGGAGTCAGTCTTTTTATACAGCATGCTACTTTTCCAGTTTCTACTCACCACATCTAATACCAGTATCTCTCAGCAGCATATCTAAAATGACCAACATGTCTCCAAAAATGATGCTTTACCACTATTTATTCATAAGAATTAATTCTTAATTTAGGGGAAAACCCGAGTTTAGTTGGGATGCGAGAGGAAGAGAGAGTTGACATTAGTGCTAATCTTCCAGAAAAAACTCTTTAGAAACTCAAAAGATTTTTCTTGTTTCAGTGGAGATATTATCTTACAAAAAATGAATGTTTTTCACACTTACAAAATGAAAATAACATCCTTGAAAATATATGTTCTAGTAAATCTTGTACTTTAAAATCATGTTTTCCATTCTTTTGTCAAAATCCACTTCCTAAGTAGGGTTAGATTCCATGCTGCTTGGTTTCATGTATCTGGAATTTTCTGGGAATGTACTATTATTCATTACTATTTCATAATAATATTCATTATTATTTTTCATTTACTTAAGGAATATTTATTGCACATCTACGGAATTCTGGGCATTATGCAAGCTGCCAGGTACACAGTCATAAATAAATGAAGGAGCTCAAATGGGGGAAATGGATGTGTAAATTGAAGCCAAAGTGATGAATATAGATTTGAAGTTGGAAAAGCAGTAGTTACCTGCATGTCTGACACCATGCTCCATGTGGTTCTCTATTTAGGCAGAGAACTATGTACCTAGTCACTTACATACCTAGTACATATGTACCTAGTCAAAGAAGTGACTGTGATATTCAACAAAAACATTGTCACAGAAAACACCAGCAGGAGTAAAGTTAAGGCCAGAGGTACTAAGGGCTTGTGTGCACAAGAATTTTGGGGCCTTATCTTGATCTTTCTGTAGTATTTTATACCTTTTGGGGACCACAACTACATTTAATTTGTTTATATATGTAGCTGAAATCCCAATAGTGATATGTGTTCATTGTAAAATACTCAGATACTACAAAATGTGCAAAGTATGAGTTCAAATATGGATAGTTTTATATAACATTTATGTATAATTTATAAGTAAATTATACACATAACCTGTATGTAATAATTAACATTTATTCAATGAATATAAATGTATATTCATAATATATACATATTTAGTAAATATTTTAAACTATTACATATTTAACATTCACTTTTCTGCAGTTGGCTCTTTCAATCAAAACACACTGTCCTCTTTCCAAGATGTTGTACATTGATATTTTAAAAAGATGATTATTATTTCACTGTATAGATGTAGCAAAATTTTTATGAATTTGTGGAAGTAGCAAAGTTTATATGATCTCTTCTATATGGACATTGTAACTATTTTTAATATTTTAATTTTTAAAATGATGCTGTCATATTTATCAGAGAGCAATTTATTCTTGTATATAAATTTAATTTACTGGCCAAATTTGAACTTATTTTCTCTGACAGATATGTACAGTAATTGAATCCCTTAAAGGAAGACTACTATATGAAATAAATTTAATATTTGTCCTTCTTTTCTAATTGTAAAGTTAGTTTTTGACAAGTTGTCTTGACCTGCATTTTCAGTACAAATTTAAATAATAATGGTTCTAACTAATACTTTTGTGTTCTACTTAAATAAATGAAAACTTTTCTAGTATTGTAAATGATAGCTATTGTTTTATATTAAATGTTTCATTGCCAACACATAATGTTTCCAGAAAAAGATAAAGAATTTTATTAAAAATTCCTTTACATAGAATATGTGCTTTTTCTCAATCTATTACAATAGTTAAATTTGTAAATAGATTTTGGCCTTGGCCATATTTTATTGTGATGAATCAATCTTTTAAATGTCTTCTTGATTCTGACAATACCTTACTTAGAATTTTTAGGTCCACTCTAAAAAGATAAAAACAAAATACTTCATATCATGATTATATATCACAATATATTATGGAATGTGGCTAAAGCATTACATTATACTATGTATGGAGTCAAATGTATGGATCTAAATACGTGCATTAACAAGAAGAAAATTCACAAGTAAACAACTTAAATTTGCATCTTAAGAACTAGAAAAGACAGAGCAAACTAAGTCCAAGGAAGCAGGAAAAAGGAAATAATAAAGGATAAAGTAAAAATAAATGAAAGAGACAACAGAAATAAAATAAAGAAAATTAAAGACACCAAAAGTCAGTCCTATGAAAAGATCAGCAAAACTGACAAAACTGCAGCTAGATTGACCAAGGTAAATAGAACACTCAAATTACAGAAATCAAAAATTAAACAGAAAACATAAATATGGGGCTTATAGAAATTTAAAAAAGAATTATAAAGGATTACTATGAACAACTGAGAAATTAGATATGTATAGGATATGCAAATGTTCAATGCCAAAGGGACACTGGAAAGCTGCTGGCTGAAAACCAGAACCAGCTCCCACATCTGGAGGCCCAAATCAGTCCCATATCCACCACTAATCATACTGAAGACTTGGCAGGATTACACAGCATAGTTTTGGGACAATACCTGCCTTGGACACGGAACTGTGGACACCTGAAGAATATTTTTTCTTCATTTCATTTTCCTTTTTCTGTCTAGTTAGTGGTTTTTATTTTGTTTGTTTATTTTTGGTTGTTTAGGTTCTTTATTTTTATTTTGTTCTACTCATCTTTCTCTCTTTCCTCAACTATCTCTCTTGGTTTTATGATATTTTCATGTGAGTGAACCTTATCTCTCATTTTTCTGGTTCAGTTCAATATTTTTTCACTTTATCCTTCATTCTTTCTTTCCCGACCTCTTCTCCAGTTTCTCAAAGCTTAGGTGATCATCCTTTGTTCTCCAGCCTTGCCTCTACTATATTTCTATTCCTTTATCTCTGTTTTGTCCTTTGCCTTCTAAACCAACCCCCCACCCCCTAGTAAAATCACTCCATTAAGGGGAAACTCACTGCATACAAGTTCTTGGTTTATGTTGGATTTTGTTGTATAACTGTACATCTTGTTTCAATACTTAAAGTACCAAATTAATATACTATAGTTTGTCACTTTCTAGTGTGTGCTTGATACTGTTGTTATTGCTAACTGTAACACTATAGCCAGGATGTCATACTAGTAATCAGTTGTTCTCCCTTTTATGACAACACTGTGATTGTCTGGTGTCATAACCATCACCATAGTCCAGTACAGAACAACTGGGTGGTGAGCCAAATAGGTAGCAACTTCTCATCCTTAATAAATTGGGAAGGTAGGATCTTGGGACATACAAGAGCCTCCTACACCCAGAAGACATCTCTGAGGAATAGCTGTTTCCTAGGGAATCCTCACTAGTAGTGATAAAGCTATCTGTGATAAGAACTTTACAAGCATTAACACAGAAAAATAAAATAAAAAATGACAAGATGCAGAAGCAAAATGAAACCCCAGACCTCCAGCCCACCTAGTACAAATGAAGATAGAGGAAATTGGAAGCCTGAATTTTCTGAAATTATAGCAGTAGAAGTAAAAAGCAGATGAATGAGGTTATAGAGAAAATAATCTCTCAGGTAAAAAAAGTGATCAAAATGAAGGATCTAGAGTAGCCATAAATAAAAAAATTGAGGAGCTCTGGTAAACAATGGAAATGATGAATGCCCAACATAAGAAAGTAATAGAATACATGAAACAGATTTAAACATATATCTAGGAGGTTAAAAATCCATTGAAAGTATACACAGTCATCTGAACCAAGGTAAAGAATATCAGATCTAAAAGATAGGAATGCAGTTAAGGACCATGAAAAGAAAGATATCTTAAAAATAGCAAGAGATGGGGCTGGGGATTTAGCTCAGTGGTGCTGCTGCCTGACTCACAAGTGCAAGGTCCCAAGTTTGATCCCTGGTACCAAAAAGATAAATAAATAAAATAAAAGCAAAAGACCATGAAAAATCAATCTAACAGCTGTAAGATGACTCAAAGAAGAACAATATAAGATTGACTGGAGTCAGTGCAAAAGCTGGAGACCGTGAAAATGCCATAAAAAACCTGTTCACAGAAGTAATGGTAGAAAACTTTCCAAAAAGTGGAAAAAGAATTGGACACACAAATAAATGAGGCATATAGAACTCCAATTACCCATCACCAAAATAAATCTACACCAAGGCATA